GTATCTGTTGCCTTACCAGGCAAAAGCTTTCTGTCATGGCATTTTTGTACTTTTAGGCCAGCTGCTTCTGGGACAAGAGTGGCTGTGATGCTGCAGATGTTCTACAGCAGCAACACCAGCTTAAGCAACCTTTAAGTCCTCCCCTGTCCAGGTGCTCACTTCTGTCCCTACACTGCCCCTTCTTTGACTGGGGAATCTATTTAGCTGAAAACTAGACTCTATTTTCTGGGTATTCAATGAAATCAGTTCCCCAGTCCATTGCCAACTACTCACATGGCTGTGTCACCATAGTGCATGTGTCCATATCCAACACAAATGTTGGACAGATTAAATCAGTTAATAATGCCTTAAGATGACTGCTACCAAAAGTAGCCATCCTGATTTCTTTTTTACTTTCTTGTGCCTTATTCTCCTTCAGGATAACCAAGTTTTTTTGTGGCTGGCTGTCAAATCAGATCAGCAACAGATGCAGATTAAAATTAGTAGTGTATGTGTATGACCAGGTCAAATTGAACACAGATCAGTCCCTCGATCTGGTTCAGCCTGTGCTGGCTGACAGGAGGTGAGGAATGAGCAGGCTGGACTGCTCCTTTTGTTGGCAGTGCCATTTTAGTGTCTAACCAGAGGATGTGGTTGTATGATACAGCTAGCAAGTTGGTCTAAGCTGGCTCTTGCCAACAGGAGAGGTCTTGGATACATGCCTTTGTTGCTTCCCTCGCCAACATTGGTGCTTGTCTGCCCTTATGATGGGATGATTAATGGAGCTAAAATGACAGGAAACTAATCCTAATCCCATCTCCCACTCCCAGTTTACTTTTCACTAATTTACTGTTGGTCAGAGAGGTTTCCATACCGTATGTGGCTATTCTGTTTCCCTCTCACCTCATGGACTTTGAGATACCCTTCAGTGATCTCGGATGAGCAGCTTTAACAGAAATTTCTTTAAGTAATTTTGTCATATGGTAAATGTAAAGCAGAATACTGTACTTTTTTACCAATGACTAAGTTAATCAGGTTGCCTGTGTGTTTACTGTGATATGGTATTGCAATGGCAAGAGGATGCACTTAAACAGCTACCATGTAAAACAAGCTTCAGAGCAGTTTAGTCTTTGTAGTTTGCAGGTTGCATAAAGGCAGTATTTTCCAGAAAATTCTTTATGGCTGTTGTTCTTAATGCTATACCTAGGGCAAAACGGACTCTGTCTGGTTTGTCTATCTGAAATTGAAGTGTTTAAATGCTTTCAGAAGTTAGAAATGGATAAAGATTAGTTATTATTTACAAGCAATGTCCACTGTTTCTCTTGAGAAGATCTGTTTCCTCCCAGGTGTCATGGTTCATGCTTGTATTGTTGTGACAGTGGTTTGTGTTTTATAGCAACATAAAAACTCCTGGCTCCTGAGAGCATGCTCTTGCCCCTGCATGATTTTGGAAATATTCACATACTCAAGGTACAATTAAGATCTTGACACTCAGTATTTAAATAAACCAAGGAACATCACCCTTCCCATACATGAAAACTCAATAACCAGAGTAAAACATAGAGGAATTTTAACTTAGAATTAAAACATAAAAGAAATTTTAAAATAAGTGAGTAAAAATCAGAGAAGCACAGGGAAAAGAACACAAAACACCTGCAATTCCCAAATCAAGAAAGGACACCTCTCTAAACAGCTTTCCCTTGTTTGCATTATAGGACCAAGTTGCCAGGGCAATAGCAATTTCCTACTGATTTAAGAATTGCTAAGCAACCTCCAGCACCTAACAGCAACAGCATGTGTGTGCAGCTGGGCTATTTTGAGTAGACAGGGCATTTTTTTATTTTAAACTTATGAGCAGCCTTCTGTTAAATTATCATGCCAGCTCAGATCAGCAAGCCAAGAAGCAATCTTGGAGCAAAGTTGCTTTAAGTGGACAAATCTTTTAAATGAGTGAGAAGACTGGAAGAGAATGCCATGACATGCCCAAAAGCAACTACATCCCGCAGGTTACCACAACCTAAAAGAATAACCCAGGAGAAGTGAAGTTTACAGCAGGTGGAAGCAGAGGCACTACACTAGCTTGAGAAGTTATAGCAATTAGAACGAGAAATATTTTTAGATTTCGGAGTCACCAACAGGAAAACCTACAAAGTTGTATTAAAAAAATTATTTCACTTCCTGTCAGTCAGCTTAACTCAGGCACACAATTGTTGGCAGAATTATTTCTCCAGTTAATTGAGAGCCAGCATGATGACACTGTCCATAAAGAATATACAATAGAGTCAGCAGTGAGACAAACATGACAAGGACTGTATCCTGGGAGAGGTAAAGTCTTGAGGACTTCTTCAGAAACCACCTTAAGAAACAAAGAAACGAAACTATGCAGACAACTAAAAAGAGGCTACCTTAGATTATGAAGTTTTATTTTAACACACACATTCCACATGCATTTGACTTCTGCAAAATGAATCTGTCATCAGGTTCCTTCACTTACACAGTAATTGGGAGCAGGGATGGGCAGAGGGGCAAAAGCAGCCAAATCCAGTCAAAATTCCTTCTGGATTAGAACCAGTGATTCAGAGGTGTAAATTGTCCATTTTGCCATGATCACAAGCCACTGCACTGCAAAGTCTGTATTATAAAGGCAAAGACTGCCACACATGGGAATGAAGACACTGGTAAAACACAGATGAGTACAACTTTATCTGAGCTAAAGAACTGAATCCATATGTGTGCTGTGCCGATAACACTGAAGTAACAGAGGATATCTTTGAATCTTCACTGTCTCTCTCTGCTACCACCTCCAGCAAATCTAGCAGTACAAGAGCCAAAATATGCTTGGGCCAGCAAGAAATGTTATCAGACAAAAGGCATGAACAGCTGTATAGAGATGTGAGGACTTGAGGGAGAGAAGATGCACATCTAGTACAAAGCAATCAACTGCATCGACAAACACAGCCTTGCACATGATTTTAACAACACTCATCAATTAAGGTATTACTCAAGCCCTAAATATTTCCTTCATAAAATATTAACATTTGCTTCACTCCATCCAGCAGTGATAGAAAGTTTTTAAGAGGTCTTGGAAAATCATCAATAAACATTAATTTCTCAAAGCCACAAATAGCAAGCTAAGAAATGCAGTTTGACATTCCAGCTATTTTTTAAGAAATATTTTTCATTCTTCAATATGTATTTGGAGGAACTTTGTGGCTTTCAAGCCCATGGAACTTTGGGTACACAGAGAACTGATAATACCAAAGCTAGTTTTGAGATTAGCAATTATATTTAGAACAAACAATCCTTGCTGGAAAAAAAAATGAACTCTCCACAAATTTCTGGAGTTCTTACTTCAGTTCAAAGCATGAATGAGGACAACATCCTTCTAATTTCATAGGATATTAAGCCTCAAACTGGTGAGGTTCTTCATAGACACCTAATTCTCTCCTACCTCTCAGTGTGTTGAATAAACGGTCTAGTTTGTGAGACTAAAGATGATAGCTACTGAAGAAATAACAGTTTTTGCTGAAGTTCAAAGAACAAAAGAGCAAAAAAATTGTAGTGTTCAGGTGACATGCCAGTGGGTACACTAATGTATTTTAGGCCTTGGTCACGATAGAGTTCAACACCATAATTGAAAGAAGAATTCAGCCTAGTGCTATGAAGCTGATGGTTCCTGCTGCTTTCCTTTTGTCTGATCTAATGACTGTGCACCCATGGGGTGACTCAGGTCAGCTGAACCAGCAGACCATGCACTCTGTGAAGCATCAGAAACCATTTTTTCCCAGATCAGTCGGCTGGCTGGCTGTGCCCTGTGGCTGCACAATCACCAGCTCTGATGCAAAGAAAGAAGCAGGAGAGCAAGGCTGTGCAGAGGTTTGACCTGCCTTTGCAAGAGCAGCACACTGAAAGATCAACTTAACTGTAATGTCAAAGAGCACATTCAAATATCTAGCAGCAGTGCCAACTTAGGCAGCCTGCTACACATTCCCACTCTCATACCTTCCTCATTGTGAGACCAGCATAAATCTTACAGAGACAGCATGTACTGGACCAGATGAAAAATAATCTAGAGAAAAACACTTCTTTCCAGGAGGATGTGTTCCCCAGAGTGGTTCACCATGGCCACAAAAACAGCTATGCCAGCAAAACAGAGGGAGCTGAGAAAGGGAGCAAGCTGTTTGAGCCTGCACTGCTGCCAAAGAAATGCATGATGAACTGCAGTGTGTTTAGAACAGGATTGCCTGCTTTCCACCACCTTCTGACTGGCTGGCTTCCTTGCAATCACTGTCTGATGCATCTTTTAAAATTTCCTTGATGTTAAAGGCAAGCATTGCTCCTCACCCCACAGGAGCAAGCAGTGGAAGCAATGGATTCAGCCAGCAAAGGCATGTGGCAGTGGATGCCAACGACGGAAGCAGGAGGCTACAGCAAACTAGGAAAGGGAATGCTGATGATCTGCAGCCAGATGTGAGCTTTGACTTGGAAATTCACAGCTGAACAAGTATGAAGGAACTCTTGATGAATATGGATTTAGAGCAGACTGGGATGAGAAAGTCATTGGACAAGAAAAGCATAGGAAGTAAGGCCTCAGAAGAAACAATACACTTTCAGACAGAACAATTGCAGTTTGGGTCTAGAAGTGAATGACACAGGGCATAATAAAGTGGTGACTTAGGCAAGGCAGGAAAGACAGCTCAGGGAACAAATCTAGACTAAAATAAAAGCAAATAAATTTTTTAATTTATATATTTTTAACAGAAAAGGAAGAATTAAAACAAAGATAAAGTAGTTACATTTCAGTCAGCTCAGTTCCTGGCACAAGCACTCACTGCAGCACAAAGCAGCAGGCAAAACTGCAAAAATTTTAGAATCTTAAGGATTTTTTGGCAAGGTTTTTTGGCAACTTACTTTTGAGTGTCAGGAAATAATTTTACAATTTATCTAACTCAGTCTGAACACAGGCTGTGACTGAGATTGTATGTCCATATTGTATCACCACACCACAATTTGAAATTCTCACCTTCTCTCCCTCAAGCAGTGACTCTGCAGCCAATAGAGCAAGTCAATTCAGCCTGCTGTTCTGATGGGAAGCTACACCTTGAAACATGCTTGTTTTCCCATTGTGATGGCAATCTGAACCCTGCAACCATAGTTCCCTCAGATTTCATTAAAAAATAAAAAACAAACAACAAAAAAAACCTTAAACCAACAAATAAAGAAAAAAGAAACAGGGAGCAAGACCCACTGAAAAATGACAGCTTTCAGTTACCTCATGTGAAGTACAGTGTGAAACCAAAGCCTGAAACATTATCCAAGAAGTTTTCTGACTCCAGTGACATTCTTTAGTCATGAGAGTATGAAACTGTCTAAAAATTAAACCAATCTGAATTGGTTTTGTCTCTCCTCCCCATCAACGGACAATGGGTGTGGAATTCAAATTTCTGTGCATTTATCGGCATCTTCTAATGCAGCTACCCAGCATGACATTCATTAAGTGGAAGGCCCAGGAAGAGATTTACTAGATATTCTGTTCCCTTTTCCCTTACAATAGCTGACTTTCCACCCTTGGACTTGCCCACTACTGAAAACAGGCAAGAATTTTCTTCAGTGATTCACAGAGAAGCTAAGACCAATATTATTGCCTTGTTTAAGCTAACCAGTTTATTGAAAAGAAGTAACATGGAAACCTAAACAACATGAGCAAAGCACATGGTATAGGGATGGGGGAATCAGAATTGTTGCTGTTCTTTGCCAGTTCAAAGGATACCAAATTCAACTGCTTCTTTCTATGAAAGAAGTCTTGCTAAATGCTCAGCAGCACAGAAAAGTGCACACGTGTGCTGTTTATACTCTTGACACTATTAAGTCCTTGCTACACAGCTGGACAACACTAACACAAATTCAAAATATTTTATCTCTAAACAATACTATCCCTCACTTTTAGTGACTACAAGCAATTTTCAAGTCAAAACCTAAGAAAAAAAGGTGCAGACTAAAGACAGAAAACGAACACAACACATACCTTACTCACAGTTCCCACGGACAAACCCAGCTCACTTCCATGCCAGCAGCTCTCTCCCCAGTCACTGAAAAAGAAAACAGGACACAAATATTCAGAGATTTCAAAACAAACAACCAAACACAGCCCATTTTCTCCTTTAAGGGTAAGGTGCAAAGTCCTTTATCTGGGATTCTTTTTAAATAGAATCTTTAATTCCTTTGGTACACACTACAGAAGCTGGATTGAAATACCATCAAGACTGCCACGCTGGGATACACACACCATGTTACTTGCAGAGAAGAACTTTTATTTTAGGACTGCTGCTTTGTCAGTTCTGAAGAATGCAGTGCTTGAGGTCTACTAAGGCAGAATATTCACCAAATCATATACTCAATTTTCTAGTTTCTCTACTGAAATCATTCTTAAACACTGGACAGTAGAACTTGGAGACTGTTATAAATAGTTTATTACAACAGGTTATGCACCCACACAAAAACGGGGAAAAGATAAAAATACATTACAGACATCTGTCAAGACAGCAACAGGAATCCCATTTTGGAGGAGGGGGAAAAGAATCACCCTATGCACCTTAAAAACTCATAAATGTACTGAGGTAACAGTCCATTTTCTTTGGCAATGCAGCTCTAAAAGGCATACCCAGCAGCACCTGACTAGAAAATAATTACTTCGGAGCCTGTGGAAGACTGTTGCTTCAAATGGCAATAAAAAGGGTCAGAAGTTGCCATATGTTTACTTCTACTTCCTTAGCCACCTTTAAAAAAAAAGAAACACATCATAAAAGTTTCCATTCCATTTCCTCCTCTGAGTTTTTCAGACTTTAGGGCTTCCTAGACATCAGAAGCACAGAACTGCAGTCAAGATGCCATGATATTTTATCAAGAAGATAAAATAAAAAAGAAAGAGTCACCTCCCTAAATGCGAACTTCAGACTAGATGGACTTTGGACATGAGTATTAACACAGTTCCACTGAAAAGGAAAAAAAAGTGTCAAAAATAGTATAAGCTATCTACTACAACAGAACAACATCAGAAGGAGTAAGATCAGTTAGACTGATTAGTCTCAATGCCTGAATAATAAGCGTAACACAAAATGTGAGTTTTCTGATCCCCAACAAATAAAAGGCTTTCATTCTGTTTACACTGTTTAGAAGAAGCTACAAGTAATGAATTGCACACCTGCTTGGTCCACTCTCCTCCACTTAACTCCACTAATTTGAAGGAGAAAGGATTTACAATACTGCTACCAAAGGAAAAAAATACAACAAGTAAGGACACCAGTATTACTTCAGAAAATTCCCTTACAGAGAATGTTCCTATTTTTCCCTCAATAAAGTGTGCCAGCACACATTAATCATGGCTCTATCACAGAATCAAGGAGTCATTCTGTCACCTCTCACAGTATTTGTCATCAAGTCAATATTTAAAATTACTTACAACTACTTAATTAATTTAATGTGAGAAGCCATAATAAGTAATTATTTTTCTTTAATAAAGCAGTCAAACTGATACAACTGTAATTATAACATAATAATGATGCAAGACTACACAATGAAGTATATACTTACAATGTAATTTTTACAGAATTGCAGATCCTAGGTTTCCTAACAGGCAAGGCAAAAAGGCCTCAAGAAGTCAAGGAAAGTCTTCCACAAAGATAGCAAACAATTAACCACTGTTAAGAGTTTGCTATTCCAACATGATGAACAAGGCACCTGAGAATTTAACAAAACAATTTTGCTGAAACGTTCTTCTTGTGCTTAATGACAGCATTAAGCACAGAGCATCACAATTTCGTTGTGATGATATGGGTTCTTTGAGAAATTTATCCATATATTAAATCTTGACTTCGATGCAAGTTTTTGGCATACTTTGGTTTGCAGTGGGATTGTTATTTTTTAGTTTGCTGTTGTTATGGGATTTTTTTTTTTTTTGAGACTAAGGTATCCCTGAAACCACTTTTCACAACAGGGAAATGTGGAAAAGTTAGAAATGCATTTCATTTGAAGATTTCTGCTGGCCAATCACTAATTTCCAGTAATCTTGGTTCACTGAATATTATCTTCCAATTCAGGATTGCAACAGCACTGATAAAGCTGAACAATCACCATGCTGCTCCATTTAGTTTCCAGCACTTAAGATCCATGTTCTCCAGAGTCTCAGCTGAGTCAAGACAGGTCCAACAGTGAGATTTTATTAATCTGCCTGTCCTGGAACAGGGAACCTGCTCATTTTCTACAAGTGAAACCCCATAACCAGTCAAAATAATCTCTGTGTTTTCTTCAGTGCATTTTTTTCCTTGCCTTAGCTTATTTACCTCTCCTGACTGTCCAACACTTCCATTAGCCTTCTCAGGTGCCTAGAGATCCTTGTTCTCCCACTCAAAACTCATCCTCCCAGACATCAGACATTTTTCTTACTTTCTCTACCAAGAACTAAAGTTTTATTCCAGATACTCTGGCCAATGAAAGGTCAACTTTTAAACTTTTGGTCCCATTTGTCAACAAAGTTCCTGCTCAGCCTGAGACAGTTAAAGTATTACATCCTGCAATTTACTGCTTGGTCATATGAACCCCAAATAGGAGATAACGGGCTTGCAATAGGCATGAACAGTCATTAATTATTTTTTTTCTAATATGTGTGTGCTATTAAGGTAAGAAATGCTGCAGGTATAACATATTCCTGTCGTTATTCTTATTCACTCACCTCACGAAATTTCAATCCAGCTTCAAGATGAAAAAAAACCACAAAACCCAGACACATCCTGCCTTCAAAATTAACAAGTCAAACTTCACAAATATTTAGCAGAACAGCCTTACAACCATAATGAAAGACAAGCTTTTTACTGTTCCTTCTACGCTGCAGTGAGTGAGCAAAGATTAATCTGATAACTGAAACATTTTCTGGCAAAATTCCACAGTTAAACAGCTTTTGCTATTCTTTGCCCACAGCACAATCAAAACATTCCTCCAACACTCCTTTTTCCTCTCACTACAGTCAATGCAGGCAGAACTCTACTGTCCCAGATTTTCTGAAGAAAAAATAGTGTCATCTCTAAGAAATGCAGAAGTCTCATCTTGCTGATAAACTTCTCCATCCAATGGAAAAGTTTGTATGTCAGTGTTTACATGTTCAAGCCAAATGGCTGCTATTCCAGTGATTACAATGGCTTATTGCCTTCACTGGTGACTTGGAGTTTCAGCATGCCTGAACAACACAGAAACTCACTGACATGACTCGTAACTCTGACCAGAACACAGCAGTGCAGAATACATATCCCACCCTTCCAACACCCAGACTGTCTCTCAGATGGAGGCTTTCAAAAGATTCAAGTGATCTGCTCCTGTAAATCATATCCAACAGGACATATGAGAGTGAATTTAGAGACAGTTATATTAGGCCTAACATTAACATAGCCCTACCAGACCTCAGAGAAAGGTCTCATCTGGATGCAGGTCCATCTTGTACAGTGGAATAGAAATTAAGTTACAATGTTGACTGTAATCACATAATTCTGCTGGGAAACTTCTTATATTGCAAAAAAAAATCACAAGGGAGGGCAAAAATGCCTTTTTTGGGTTTTTTTAATCATTCAAGTAGAGTCTTTCAATGTTTTTTTTCCAAAAGTTTCTGCCTGAAGGAGAAAAAGCTTCCCTGTAATTGACAGAAAGTGAATCCTGTCTCATCTTTGCTCAGAGCTGTACCATCACACACATAAACAATTGCAGAGCAAACGAGTTAATCATAACATGGCTATGGCTGTGTGTAAAGGATGATCTCATCTGAGTAAGCCTAAACAGGGTGTCAACCATATGGATCAGTTGTGCAATGAAGATATATCCTCAGTGCTCCACTAAACCACGGGAAGGGGAGGACTCAAGGAACCACACATCCCCTCCCCGGTGTGTCTACAACTAGTTGTAATTGCCATATATTACAGGAAACATTAATTTGAGGTTGAAACAATCTGTGATGTAGACTGTCCCAGACCAAAATTAATTTCACAGAACTAGACATTATCATTTCAGTCTCCAGTTCCCCTAACATGAAGATGATGTATAGTCAGAACATTGATTTGCCTCACTAGAAGATGGCAAAATAGGGAAGTTTCTGCACTGCTTTATGCCAGGGGCCCTGTAGTGTGGTACATACACATTTCAATATGCACCCATGGCAAGCAGAGACAACAGCAGCAGCAACTCCTGACCCTGTCCAGGAGAAAGTTTTTCTTTCAGTGCCAAAAAGGCAGCCCCCAGTGATAAGCTGTTAACAAATAACGTGCTGGCACACGCAGCAGCTACCATGCTTCCTCTGCTGTACTCCACAAAAACTCTGCTTTTCTGGATCAGCAGGGCTCAAACAAGCTGAAAAAGGAAGCACCAGTTAATTAAGAAGGATAAGCAGAAGCAGTCAACACTCTAATTTGCAGTAGGAGAGCAAAAGCAGATGGATGGCATGAGGTTAAGGTGCAGAAATCTCCAATTAAAAGCTCAGATCTTTAGTTTTCAAGATTTAAAAAGACTTGTGACTCTATGTTAAATCTCACCTTCTTGAAGAGATGTTATCACTATGGCTGTGTGCCTAAATCCAAAATATTTCTTCACACAAGAATAATGATGCTGCGCACACACACACACAAGAAAATGGGGGAGGGAAATGGAAAGGAATGCTGCACAAACTAAATTCATTACATCAATTTCTGAACTATAAACCAAACTCATTTAAACAATTACATTACCTCACTAAGTGACAAATTCTAAGATTTATCTGTATGGAAAATAAAAGTCTTGAACAAGAAATAGGAAAGGATCAAAGGAAGTGAAATACTGTTAGCAGCTTTGTTTCTTCACATCTGCACACAGAGTACCAGACTGAGGGCAGATTCCTGTACAAGCTGCATGCACTGCTTGCCCTCTGCAAGGATAACCCACATTTAAAAATCTGGAGGCTCTGACTGACCAGAGTGGCACATCTGAGCCTGGCAATGAAAACTGTCCTCAGCCCAATGCCATCCATTCCCCTGAAGAAGCCACTTAACAGTGTTTGCACCCAGAAAGCATTCAGAGGTTGGGAGGTAAAACATCCCCATTAACCACACACACAGCATCCTTGAAAAACTGAACAGAGTATCTGACAAAGAAATTAGTTTCTGAATTCACACAAACTCATCCATTTCATCTAACACCCACACGTAAAAGAATAATCATAGGAACAATTTTAAAGTGTAGTTCCTTTCAGCTGTAGCTCTTACTAATGCACTCCTCCACTCCAGCTATGCATTCCTGCAGCTCTGCCCCATTTTTTATTTGGGCGGTCTGAGGGGGAGAGGAATAAAACACACCCAGATTAAAAATCAGCTCTCTAACCTGGCCTAGCATGCAGCTCCACAGACTCCACATCACTACTGAGGTGACAGCACATGGTGGGGAGGGGGAAAAAAGGCAAATGGGAATATGAGCTGTTTAAGACAGCCCCACCACTAAAAGAAATGTCTGTGTAACCACATCCTCTGTTTGCAGTCTCAGTTCAATTCAGCAAATATGTCCAACAGGAAACAATTAGATTAGGCTTTCCCAGAGTAGGTGTCTGACAGTTTGAGACTGCTGAACAATTGCTTTTTCTGCTTCCTCTCCAACAGTTTCTCAGGAAAAGACATTGACCCTCGGGACACAACTGATAAAAAAAAAAAAACCAACCCAAAAAAACAACTAACTTTTAAGGAAGAGCTTCGTATAACTGTAATATGATTTGTTAATTATTACCACTTTTTTACATGGAGGAAGTCAACTGTACCCCTCAAAAGGAATCTTAATCAAATACTGAGTTATCAGTAAGTAAACAGATAATGAGATAGTCCAATTGTATTATCTACAACACAGGAAGGACAGCTGAGTATAGAGAGGAAAGGCAGAAGAGTGCTGGAGTTGTTATAAATTGAGCTTTTGAGGTAAAAAGCATATAAGGAGACACCCTGCACATTCCAAATGAGTGCAACAATTAATCTTGTGATAATGTTTTGACACATCATAAGAATTCATCTGCTTTCTGCTCCAACATCCAAACCTTTTTTGTTCTGATATTTCTCTCTCTAGTACAGCTGCTGTTTTCACCACCAAATACCATACAGGAATTTAATCATGGCTCAACAGTGAGGGAAATCCAGTAGGGATTGCTATTACTATTATTATTATCATCATCATCATATTAAATTAAAGGGTACTTTTATTGTCTGAATGTACATTTCACCTGGAGGTTCAAGGATGAAAGTCTGTGAAAAATGCTGCTGTTTTGCCATGCCAGTAGAAGTCAGCATTAAAAAAAAAAAAAAAACCAAATATGCAAGCACTCCTCCTCAAACCTAAGAGTTTCCCATTATTTCATATTCAAGAGGAGGAAAAATTAAAGACTGCTTTTGGAAAAATGCCAATTTCTCCTAGTTCTACGTCAAAATGTCTCCTGTACTCCCTTTCTTTGCATTTTATTTCATGAACTGCTTGTTGCCTGAAGATTTGGAAGCCTTCTCCCACATGATGATAGGAGTGGATGGCCTCAATTAAAGAGAAATTAAAGCTGCTTCCACAACTGCTGGAACCAGCGAATGCAGCACTGCTCACATTTTGTATGGAACAGTGTGATGCTCAAGAAGCTCTAACTGGCATTATTTCACTCTTTGCCAGAAATCACATTTGGTTTCTAAATTATAAGTGAGAAAGCAATGAAAAGGGCTCAGTAAGCCAATATCTGATAATTAAGAAGGGCAAATTGGCCTACTTGTGGAACGCTTAAGGCATTTGCTTTTAGCCCCAAGTCTTTTTCTCCTTTCAGCAGAAAGCACGAATCTGAAGAACAGAAAAGGAGTTCACAGTCAGCTTCAGATCATACACTTATTTTAAATTCTATTATTAGATCCTATTTAATCACAATTATTAGATCACTCATTAAATCACTGCAGCAAATGGGAACAAATTGGTGTCCCTGTCATTTCATATTCAGTAATGACTGAAATATTTTTGGAAATACTTATGAAGATCTAACGGCACTACATTTCTACCAGTTCAACAGTATGGACTTTACAGAAACCTAGTGAGGAGTTTTGTGTAAGCAGCAGATATATTTTAAAATCAGTGGTGGATATGTATTTTTATTTTTAATTTTTACCTGAAAACCAACACACAAGTAAAAAACACACTTCCCATAAGTCACCTATGCCACAACTAGCCCTGATGTCAAATACAAATTTAAAATAAAGACAGAATGTTGGGATATGCACATCCAGCCCAGAATAGCTATATTTTACATTTCCCAAATATTCAGAGCTGTGTCTTCAGATCCTACCAAAAAACAAAAAGCACAATTCGGGTTCCAAGATACAGAAAATAAGCTACAGACTTAAACAGAAACATTTTTCATGTCTTCAAAACGTATTTTCTATGGATGGCGGGTTAAAATGCACTTTCCCAGCACAGGCCCTGATGCTGTCTGGACCAACGACACCAGAAGGGGACTGCTATGAGCAGCAGCAAACCTGCAACCCTTTATTCAGCTCCCTCGAGGCTCATTTTGCACAACAGAGCCACGCAGAGCCGTACGAACACAAAGTTTCATGGTGCACAGCAAGGCTACACAGAGGCAGACCACAAAGGTCTCGGGAGGATTATTCCACTAACACACCTATAGAACTGTCAGCTTTCCTCCGCGATCGGGGGGGACGTGGAACTCCAGTCCCCTCCGATGCACGGTGCCACAGTCCCGGAGCGCGGACAGACGCGCGGCTGTCCCCGCAGACAAGCGGGGAGCCGCGGCCGGAGCCGCCTCTGCCCCGCGGGGCTCCGCAGCCCGCCGGGGCCGGCCGCTCCCAGACCCCTGCGAGCCCCCGCCAGCACCGCCCGCAGAGAGCCCCAGAACACCGCCCCCGGCCGCGGAACGCCCGGGACCCTTCTGGGCGGGAGGGGCGCGGGGCAGCGGGGACACGGCTCCGCGGGGCTACCCTCCCTCCCTCTGCCTGCCGCTGGCGCTCCCCGAGGCCGCCCCGCAGGTGCCGGCCGAGCCGGCGCTCCGCGCTCACCTGGTCACGGCTCCATCTCGCCCGAGCCCGCCCGTGCCCGTCCCCGGCGGAGAAGGCGCCGCCCCCGCTCCCGCAGCCCGGCCGCGCCACCGCCGGCCGGCGCCTCGCAACCGCGGAAGCGCCCGCCCCCCGCCAGTCTCGCCAATCAGAGCGCAGAGGCGCCGGTGAGCGGCACGAGAAGCGACCAATGGCCCGCGAGCACCTGGGGAAGCTAACGGGAGAGAGGGGCGTGCGCCGCCTGACTGACGGGAGGTGCAGCCAATGGGAAGGCAGGGATGAGGTCATCGCGGGCGGGGCCGAGGGGGCGGGTGCCTTCTGGGCGGGGAGGGGCGGGGCCTCGCCCTTAAAGGCGCAGCGCCGCCCTTGTGGGCGCTGTGGGATGTGGGGGCGAGTCAGTAGTGAAGGGGGCAAAGCCGTGGAACAGCCCGAGCGTGCCGGCACTGCTGGCACTTCGGGTTCCCTGACGAGCCGGGAATATTCCCCTTCCTTTCTCCCATGTTCCCGCCCAGCACCGCCCTCCCCTCATCCCTGGATGGGACTGTGGGTTCCCGGCAGAGGCTGGATGGATTTTAGTGCTGCGCTCCCAGTGTGGCAGCGTGGTGATGGCTCAGCTTTACCGCCGGCCTGTCGCAATCTGAAATCGGGAGATAACATTCAGTGGGGCAGGCTACTGGAAATGAGGGATTGGCCAGCAGAAATCTTCAAATGAAATGCATTTCTAACTTTCCCACGCTTTGCTGTGTGCAAAGCGATTTCGGGAGTGTCAAAATGCCCGAGCGGGCGGCGGTGTGCGCTGCGTGCCCTCACGGCCCGGCCCGGCCCGGCCTGGGCTGCTCCTCCTCTCGGAGACACACCGAGCTGCTCGGTGGGGCACAGAGCCGAGGAAATAAATGGTGCAAGTGGGTGGAATGTCCGTAAGGAAAACTTCGGTTCCCTGCGGTGGGGTTGTGCAGAAAACAGGGGAATGATGGCATCCCTAGAGCAGGGCAGAGGACCGTAGCTGGAGTGTTAGAACATCATTATAAATAGTCAGGGCGCTTCACCTGCGGTGATGTTCTCACCCCTGCTTAGTCAGTCATGACAGAGACAGCAGCAATGCTCTGTGAAGGGTTGGCTCACACTGTGAAGCTGAAAAAGTTAGGATCACCTTTCAAAACAAAGAAAAGAGCGAGGTACACAATGATATAGGAGTGATACAAAAGAGGCATGGTGGGCCTTTCCTTATTCTCCCCTGCAGTCCGAGAACTGGAGGACATGATATAACTGCAAAGCAATGTATGTGAAGTAGTTAGGAAAAAATGTTTGTGCCGTGTACAATTAATCTGTGAACTTCGTGATAAGAAGCTTGATGGTACAAGCATGTTAAGAAGAACCCAATTCTTAGCCAGTTTCTGCCAGTCAGCCCCTATCTTGCCCTGGTTTTCAATCCTGACATTTACAGCTTTTTGCTTTTCCTTCCCAGGGATCCAGTTCAGCTTTGGCTACACACATAAATCTTTGAAGTAGCATAATTCTTCTCCCTGCTGTCTGACAGGGTTAGCCCTCCAGAGGTAGTTTAGTGGAAGAATAGAGTCAAAAACACAAAACATTCCCATGCATGATGATATTTCTGGGAGTTTCCAGTTTAATGACAAGTCAGGAATATTTACCTTCCTTTCTCCCTTGTTTGCTAACAGCTCTTTAGGGATCTGAGACAAATACTCCAAGTGAATGAGAAAGCATGGATGTCTTCCTGTTCTGCATTGCCAATTTTAGCAACAATGGTGCGTGGCTGATTCCTGAAATCATTCACTTGGGAGACTTGTTAGTAGATCTGTTTACAGAACAGGGGAGGAGGGATGATGTGTGCAAGGGCTGATCACAAAGCGATGGCAAAACTCACAGCTCTGCCCCTGTTTCCAGTTCACAAGCTGAAGTCCTACTCACTGTATCTTCCTTCAATCAGATATGAACATTTAAGAGACAGAACTGATTTACAGGCTCTGCCTGTTAGAGATTGTTTTCAGTAGGTGCCACTATGCTTTTCTAAGTCTCCAAAGGTACTTACAGGCATTGATAAATATGCAGTAGGGGAAACCATAAAGAAATAATTCTGCTTGTCCATAAAACCCTTCTGCCTTCATCAGGAACAGGGACAAGTGAAGAACTCATACTACATGCAAGCTATATTTTTTGGTTTAGTTTTGAAGTCCTTGTTATTTTCAGTAGCTTTCAGTTTCCTTAAGACTCATAATGAATTAATTAAATTCACATTTTATTAACAAACGCATAAGAACATCTGCAGCATTAGTAAAGGCAGCAAATCAGGTCTATTAAATTACTTCCATTGGATTTAATGTTAGATGAAAGCTTGCACTGAACAAAGGAGGCACCAGTACAGTATGACAGAATACAGTAGAATTCAGTACAGTTACAGTGAGACTGTATATGTGCAGTTCTGAACTCCATTGCATAATTACAATATCAAGTTACTTCTGGGTGCCTACCATGAACAAGCTTGGGAATCTTACACAGAAATATTTGATTTTCCTGACCTGATATCTTAGTCATCATTGATTTAGCATTAGATTCACTTTTGCATTTGGATTTCCTTTCTCTTTAAAGAAAAGCAAGTAAGAACGGAGGGGGAAAAAATCAAAAGAGAACAAAGCAAAAGGTGTCCCTAAGAGTGTTTCTAAAGATAAAGTTCTTAAAATGGCTCAATGTGGTGCTTAACATTAAAGCCTGGATAGCCTTCAGCCATCTAAAGATGACTCTGCTTAAAGCCACAAACTATTACAGAAACCTTAATGACCCAACAGCTCAGAACATGCCTAACACAGTGCCTCAGCATTAGGCTGATGGACAAATCGTCTCCTGATGGAGAAAGAACCTTGTTGGCACAGATAACTGGTCCAGCTTCATTTCTGGGGGAATAATGCATCCTGCTATCTTGGCTTCTGACTGCTAACATGCATCTTAGCAGCTCAGCAAGACCCCAGGTTTCCCAGTGGTTTGCACAGACCCAGCAGCAGGTGCTCACGTGTGTGTGTACCCACAAGCAAGAGCCTGCAGGGCCTTCCCAGGGCTCTGGGGAAGATCCTTCCAGAGGCAGCTGGCCAAACAGGGATGGTTGCCAGCCCTGGGCTCACAGAGCCTGCATACCAGCTGCTGTGGCCAGGCTCCTGCAAGACCTGTGCTCGAGGGAAGCCAGCCCTGCAGAACCTCAGCCCCAGCACCACTGGTGAGCTCTTGCACGTACACGGATTCTGCTGAGCCACAATTGCCTGGATCAGGGCTGCAGCAGCCCTTACAGCAGAGCAAGCACTGTCCATCCCTTGATCAGCTCAGCTTCCCTGTCTGACCTCGAGCCAGAGCCTACAATGCCCTCACAGGCTGCAGGGCAGAGGTTGAGAAGGAGGGTGTGCCAGGAAACAAGGAATAGGTGCATGCAGAAGTAGTGGAGTTCAGGCACATGTTTGGCAGGAGGAGGAGTAGCTGTGGGCACTGAGGATTGGGGCCCTAATGGAAAGCAGAGGGCTGTGAATGGTCCAGCTCTGCAGCTGCTGCAGCCCCCCACGGTGGTGCCACAGTCCTGCTGTGCTGGGAGCTCTTGTGAGAGTTTAAATGGAGCAGTTGACTTCAGGGTTGCATGGTAAAACTAGGAGATGGTGTGTTCTCAGCCTTATTTAATCAAGTCCTAACAAGCAAGAGACAATTGGGAAAAGTGCCTAACAAGATTCCTTGCCTTCGGTGAGGCCAGCTGCTTTCACTTTTTAAATTGAACCCTGCTCTTTACATGGTTTCATTCTTTGTTTCCATGACCTGCACATCAGTGGTTGATTTCTGTCCTAAAATCCCTACAGTTTAAGTCTCTCTTGAGAAAGGAGTTGGGCAAGGACTTAAACCTCTTAGAGAGGCAGTTCAATGACTGTTCAAAATATTAGAGACACTCATTTTCCTGTCTTACCAAGGATTTTTTGTTTTGAAATGGTTCAGCCATTTCAGTTTGGTAAACACAAACGTATTTCTATTAATCTAAGTTTTGGTGGGTGAGGAATCTACCTTCCTGTGTGCCCTTTACACAAAAAGAGGATTTTGCCTCCTCAGCTGCTCAAAGAAAGAGTAACATATGGGAAAAACAGAGCAAAAGAAACTGAAATATTTTTTAATGTCCTTTAGGCAAATATCAAGCATGAGAAATTGCAATAAAGAAATCGTTTGGGGAAGTGAAGTGCTCATTAAAAAGTGTGTGGATAAGTATCAGAGTCCAGGGTTAATAATTACTGTCTTCTATCAAAGAATACACTAATTATTAACTTGAGACTGTGACTTCCAAGTTGTGACCCACATAGACAGAAAAGCACTTACCGTAGTAAATAACACAGTTTACAAACTCATCGGTTCAAAAGTGCAGGGACAGAGCTACATTGTGCTTTATGAGAAGAGGTGAATGTTGGCCATGGTCTTTTGGCTCGAAAGGACTGGAACAGACACCGACTCGTTCCTGGGGCTTTGTAGTATTCCCTGCTTCCCTTAGATGGAGCCAAACTCCCATGGTCAGGCTGCCTGGGACTCACCAGTAGCGCATGCATCTTGCCCAAAATCAGAGGAGAGCTATGCAGCAGGAGTTTGTCATGGGTCCCTAAGCCCCATTTCCTGCCCGTTCCCCTCCAGTGATTTCCCAGTGCTGGTTCATTGCCTCCCTGGCCTGTTCCCACAGTGCCACGGCGACAGACAGTGACACACAAGTGCACTGATCTGGCACCGACCTTCCCTTTCAGCTTGAGGGGAAGTGTTTTTTCAGATGTTACAAATATTACCTTTCTAACCACACGTTATACCACAGCTCTTGCTACTGGTCCATTAATCTGCACATTGAATGGATAAGGCATTAGAAAGCATCTTTTGGAGGCTTTTCCATTCCATGTCATACTGTGATCTTGGGCAAAAAATTCTGGTCTACCAGTTCTTGTGACTCTGGCCTCCCACTGCAAAATGTTTGGGATCTATATGATTGCAGTGCAATGACTTGTAATAGAAAGTAGAAACTTCAGAGAGCAGAGAGGAGGAGTCTAGAGTCTCTG